ACCAAATTATTTTCCTTGCTGGCAAATTTGCAACAGATATAATAAGATCTTATTTGACTTCTATTAAACCTAGGTACAGCAAAGTTATTATACTTAATGTTGATGACTCTACAGACATGTCTATATGAATTAAGTCAGCAAACTTTAATACCAGGTATTAATTTAATACTGAATATTTCTGAGTTCATGTGAACCTGAAATTCATTCTGGCCAATTTCCTTTTATATTTCTGAGAATTTATATAAGCACTTAATATCCTTTATGCCAATTAATTAGAGCTCATTTACAAATTAATTTTGATAATACCATCCAAAGGTAAAGGCATATATAATACACATAGACATATATACAGACACAACCAGAGATATCATAGTTTCATTTTCTAAACTTGGTCATGAATCAAGTATTACAATATAAAACTCACCTTGTTTTAACAGTTGGAACAAGAGAAATTTAAACGACTTCATTTCACTGCCCTTCCCCCTGTTTTTTTCTTTCCTACAATGTAAGGAATTAGAGATGGTCTAGGTAAGATAAATGTTCCTGAAAGCCTGATCTTAAGGCACAGGGAGAGAAAAGCAAGTTCTCCTAGAAGGATTTGTTCCTTCAGTGTCAGAATTCTGCAAAGATTTTCTAGGTCTGCTTTAGTATCTGGCAGAAATAAGTGGGGCCTTCAATATAGCTCTGTGGCATTACAGTCCACATATATTGCCTCTCATTCCAAGTAAAGGCAAAAAGATACCAGTCACCTGGATGTATAGGAATACTTTTAAAAAAGTGCTACAGAGCTCTGTCACAGAAAAGAAGTCACTGTTCTTAGGAATGTGGACAGTAAGGTATGGGGGTTTGGCACTACAAAGTGATGATGCAGAATGTATCCTTCCAATGTTGGTAGAATCAAGTGCCCATAATTCTTTAGGTACTAAGCCTAGCAATTTGTCTTATTCAGTGTCAACCTCATCAAGAGTCACAAATATTATATGATGAAGGAAGTCTGACTGGTCCTTCAGACCTAGAAACATTTCTCCCTTAAGAGTAAAGGAAATATGGACTTTATAAGCTTCCAATAGATCTCTGCCTATCAGATGAATGGGAGCACTTTCTACTACTAAAAAAATAAAAATAAAAATAAATTTTTTAAAGAGCGCCTTCCTTTATGTTCCCCTAAGTAGAATTCTAAAGGTATGATTTAAAAGCCTTAATAAGTGCATTAGAAACCCCTACCATCTGTTCTGAGGTATTATTCTAAGGGAGAGAGACTTTAATTTAGGTAGCGTTCAAAACTGAAAAGGTGGCTTCTGTATCTCTCCGGGATTTCATTGTTTCCCCTTGTTTAATCATTTCTACTTCTTCCACAGTGTTAGAGAGGGAAAGGGGAAAGACTCCCCATGTTACCCCAGAGCAGCCCTATTTTTGTTTAACTCGTAATTCTGGTCTAAAATCCAGTTTTCCTTCTAGGCTTCTCCTTCTTGACTTAAAATGTATTTTCTGATGCTCTGGTTTTCTGTAGTAAAAGTAAACTGGTTTTCTATATTTGGTTGTGGATTGAATGAGGATCGGTTAACCTTCAACTGGCATTGAGTACTTAATTGGCACAATTGAAGGTTCATGATTTTTTGTAGGTATCCCCTTTCGTTTGTTTGTAAAGGTCTTAAAAGTGTAACAAGGGCTTTTGCAGGTAAGGAGGACCAACCTAGCTTGTCTTCTGACTGGAGTAGTCAATTCCTCATCTAAGCCTTCTAAAAAGGCAGTTAATTAAAGGATCATTTTGGTCATTAGAGAATGATTCAGGTGTCAAGCCAGAATATTCCTTTAAAGTTTTGGTTTTTTTTAACCTTTCATAATAGTCTGGAATTGCTTCATCGGGTCATTGCTTGCACTGCTGAATCTTTGCCCAGAGTTTTTGGGACAAGCTCTGGGATAAATTCGAGTAATTTTTGAGCTAATTCTTTGCATTCAGTGTGAGCCTGTGGACTATGTAATTCAAAGTCCAGTAGAGGTCATTTCCAACCTGCTTTCTCTGTCTATTTCTTTGGTTTGCTTTCAGAAGCTAATTGATATAGATCTTAAAATACGGGCTTGTAAGTCCAGATGGTTAATTAAAACTCTGTAGCAAATCTCAATGGATCCTTACTTGGAGTGGGAAATTCCTTAGCCAAAGCTCTAAGTTCTGCTCACGTCCAGGGTGTGTACACAGGCACCAAAGACAGTTCACCTCTCCCTGTAATAGGTTCCTCCTTAAAGAGAACGATAGTCACCTCTGATTTTTTAATTCTCTTTTACTGGGGAAGAGAGAACAGCAGGAGGTGGAAGAGACAGAAGAGAAAAAGAGATAGCATCTGGACCAAGCAATTCATATAGAAGAGGATACATGGGAGGAGCAGGGGGAGAGACAGTGTCAGTGCTAGCAGCCCTTTTCAGTTCTGATACAGTTTTAAACAATTTCTTGTTGGTTTCCTGAAAGAGGTTATTTTATCATTTCCTCTTTTAGAAGCTTCTAAATACCAATCAAGTAAGCATTCCATTCAATCTTATGGTTGGCTTTTTCTAACTGTACATGCAAAAATATTAGTTATGGAATATCAAAAAGAACCCCAATTTGGCCATTTTAGATTGAGATCTCCTTTAGTATAATTTCCCCAATTAAGTAGGTACTTGCAAGTATGAGCTCCGTACATGAATCTGGCTAGTGTGTTAGTCTGAGGTTGGTTTTCTGATGCCCCTCATTTCTCTGTTTGAAAGACTCTATTTCTCATTTTAAAGTTGAATTTGTCGGGATAAAATTTCACTTTTATCCCGACAAATTCTATTGAGGTAGTCAAATTGAGGAAAAGCATCAGCTCAGCCTCTTACCTAACCACCCAGTCCAGAACCTGGTATGTCTCAACCAGGCCCCATCCAGCACCTTTTTCCTGGGTGGGTATTCCTCCCAGTATCTCTCAACTGGAGGGCCAGGTAACTGGATACACTGCCAAATAAAACTCAGGATCGTTAACCAATATGGGAGATCCAAGAACCACAAAAGACTCACCCAAATTTGTCTGGACTCTCTGAGGAAGCAGATGGGCACAAAGGTACCAAGGCTCCAGTTTCTCATAGACTTCAGGCAAAGGAGAAAAGTCTGCTCTGGATCCCTTTGTGAATTTGCCAAAACCGTTGACTGAAATAAAATCACACAATGTAAGAGTTGTGGGTTAAGTTTTATTTGGTGCAAAATGAGACGTATAGCCTGGGAGACAGCATCCCAGAAAGCTCTGAGGGATATTATATGTTGTGTGCACAATGTGGTGGCCTGTTGGTGACATGGTAACATGCAGGTTGGTAAAAGAATTTACCAGAGGTTGAGTATAAGAATAGAAAGGAGTTTATTAGGGTACACTGTCATAGACAATAGTGAGCCACACAGGTGAAGGGTGCCTGCATGAGCACCAAGGGCTGGTTGTTGGGGTGTTTTATAAGGCCGGGTCACAAGGTGCCTGATCAGCTTGTGCACAAGTCTCTGATTGCTTGCAGGTGAGTTAAGAGGTTTAGGGTCCATGAAGGATGGTGGGGTTTGACTCTGATGAAGTAGGCTTGAAATAAGCCAACCTGAGCATTACCTAGGGCTGTTAGTTTGTTAGGGGAAACATGCCCAGTAAAGAATGTACTTCATCTGAGAGCCCAGAAATGAGGATTGTTGGACTTTGAAGGATGTCAGTTGGCCCAACATTATATATGATTTCAGTTAAGGGGGGTACGTGCAGTCAAGCACATAGGCAGAGGCTTACTGCTAGTTATAAGGAGCAGATGTCACCATTAATGATTTTAGTGCTTTGCTAGAAATGAGGAGACACAAGAATTGGAGTCATAAAATCTTCTACTGAAAATATATATGCAAAGGCCTGTTCAGTCAGTTTTCCCAGAGCACAGAGTGCCCCATTCCTGACCTCCATCCTGAACTTTTAGGGTGTGTTGGAGGTCAGTGGCTGCAGCAGCTCTGTGATTTAATCCAAGCAGAGTTAGATGGCAAGTACCAATGTGATCCAATCCTTATAAAGGCAGATGGCAAGTACCAACTTTGAGTTAGCACTCAGATGACAAAAGTCTCTTTCTAAGCACTGTAGTGTCTCAGAAAAAGCCCTAATTCAATTACTGTCAAGAACTGAATTGAAAAAAAAATACATATAAATGACATTTATTAAGGTCTTACTGCACATAAGCCCACAGTTGGGTCTTTTCTTTCAACAATCAGTATCTAGGATTTTTGTTTAAATCACTCACACACATAGGCTATGAACACTTACACATATAGGCTATGAAACCAAAAATTACATAAGTAGTCTTTAGGCAAGGTGATTTTCTTTCTACTTTATTATTTATTCTGGAGGCAATGATTTATTAACCCAGATAAAGACACAATTACTAAAGTGTAATAGGTGTTTTTTCAGAAGTTCTAATAGATTGACTGAAATAGGTTACCTAAACACTGCTCCTTCTTGTGGAAACAATCTCCTCTAACATGATCAGAATTTTCCTGGGACTTGATTATTGCTGTCCTTGAAAGGACAACATTTCCTCTGTCTTTCAGAAATCGTTGTGTAGCTCAAACTAAAGTATGATGGAGCGTCCTTGCTGAGCGGGAGCGGAACAATGGTCCTCCTCCCCAGGTCCTAATTAACACAGGAAACTACGTTTGCATCCCTTAACTAGACAAGGGCAACCATTAAGTTTCAAGGAAGCATCTGGGCTGCAGACACTGTATTAGCCTTGTAACTTTGAAAGGGATTGATCAAATTTAGCAAAACAAACAGTGTCTAACCCTCCTAGGTCAGCTAAAGAGAACAGGAGAAAATGAGTGAAAGGCGACTCTGGCTGCGCACCCCTTCGGGGCTGCGAGACTAGGAAGCTTTGCTTGCCTCTGGGTTTTGTCCCTCCCAGATTTCTGAGCTGGCGAGCAGTCGCTCAGCACTGCAGTCCGAGCCAATTGCAGAAGACCTAACAAAGCCCAGCCCAGCGGAAGGAACGGTTTCAGAGTTGTTTCTCTTGTAAAGGAGCTCTTCCTGGTCGGCTTTTATTCTCTCTGGTGTCTGAGAGAACAACCCTCTAGAAACAATTTAAGAGTGACAGGTAAAATAAATTATACCAAAAGCTCACAGCAACAAAAAAGATGAAATTCTTTCTGGACTGCCTCCTGCTTCTGCCCTTACTGCTCATCTTCACCTTAGAGTCTCTCCTGAAGCTTTTTATTCCTAAGAAGAGAAAATCAGTTACCGGAGAAATTGTCCTGATTACTGGAGCTGGACATGGAATTGGAAGACTGACTGCCTATAAATTTGCCAAACTTAAATGCAAACTGGTTCTGTGGGATATAAATAAGGTAATAGTGCCTACTATATTTTACTTTCTGATATCTTTAATCTGTATTGCATTTTGCTGGCAACAACCCCTTATAACATCTCTGTAAAGTAGGTAGAAAAAAATTAATATTGCCATTTTACAGATGGGAGGAAAACGTGGTTTGATTAATGTGTTGATGATCACATGATAAGCAAACCTAGAGGATGTAAGATTCCCAATTACTGCCCGTGATTAATTTGACGTGGTTAATTTATCCTCACTTTGGCCCTGAAAATAATTTGTAATCTCCTCCTGCACCTGATCTCACTGATCCCTCTATGTTAATCATATGAAAAAAGTAATAGTTTTAACTAGTATATGAAAAGAGTAAGAGTTTTACACCTATTAACAGAAAAATCCTACCTGCAATTATTGAGATAAGTGCACTTAAAAGATACCCAACAGAAAGCAACATGACTATGCCATAGTCATTGCCCTGAGTAATTTTTGAAATCATCGTTTAGTTAAAAAAAGTGAAAAAGAAAAAAACTTCAATGCAATGTTTTACCTCTTAAGGAAAATAGGACATATACACTTACCTTTTATTTGACCTGTATTAGATGGACAAAGGGGTTTCCGGAAGGTACTTGAGTGCCTGAAATGCCATCCTTTACACATTACTCAACATCCAGTGCTGTAAACAAGAGTTCAGGGGATTGACATTGTTTAATAGCTAACCGGTGAGTAGGTGGTGATTGAGATGAAATCAACAAATACTCATTGAGTATCTGACTAGGTATTAGAACACAGTAACAAATAGAAGATATGGTCCCCTGCCTTCAATCTAATAGGGAAAATAGACATTAAATAATTACATGTACAATGGAAGGTAGAAACTAGGCCCAGCCTCATCTGATGGGGTCAGGGTGGTGAGTGGTGGGCATGGTGGTGTGGTCAGACTCAGATGGGCTCTGCACTCCATGGCTAACTTACTCAACTTCATGGGTAGCTTTCTAGAGCTTTTAGGTTCCTTTTCTGCAAAATGGATAAAATAACAGTACTTTCCTTAGAGGGCAGGGAAGATTATACCAAATAATGCTCACAAAGCATGTAGTGCAATGTCTGGCACATAGTAAATACAATAGGGTGTTATTATTCCTTCACAAAGTGAAGCTTAAGCTAAAATTCAGAGATGTATAAGAGTTAGATTACACATCTAGGTTCATGATTCCCAGTGCCCGGTGCTGGTTTGTACAAAATTTTTTCTGATCTGGAGTAAAGTACATTTACCCAACAAATATTTATTGAGCACCTACTATCTGCTAGATACTGTTCTAATATAGAACTGAAGATATAGCAGTGAGGAAAACTTTATGAGCTGGGGACAATAAACAAGATGTATAATATCTTGCTGTATAATAAAAGTGTGTAATTGCTGGATAGTGATAAGTATAAGGAAAAAATAAAACATGAAAGGGACTCCATATGGTAGGGATGGCAGAGATAAGAGTATTGATCTTATACAGAAGGTTTCACTGAGATAGAGGCAGTTGGATCAAGATCCAAGGGAACGGTGAGTCCCTGGCATACCTCTACACAGAGGGATCTGCAAAGGTAAAGCCTGGCACAGAACGGAGAGATGTAAAAGGTCTAGAACCGTGCTGCTATCGCTTTGTGCAATAGTAGGGAGTAGCCACCAGCCACTTGTGGTTGTTGAGCAATTGAAATGTGGCTCAGCTGAATTAAGATCTGCTATAGGTATAAATGCTCATAGGATTTCAAAGACTTAGTATGAAAAAAAGAGTGTAGAATATCTTATTAATAACTTTTATATGGATTACATATTGATATGATAATATTTCATAATTATAAATATTTCAAATAATAATATTTTGGATATATTAAATAAAATATACTAAAAAATTTTAAATGTGGTTACTAGAAAAATTAAAATTAAGTACATGGCTCACATTATATTTCTGTGGGATGGCTCTGGACTAGAGACTTAAGGAACAGCAGCTCCAAATCATACAGGTTCCTGTAGGATGTTTGTGCTTTGCCTTTTACTGAGGGAGCCAGTGGAGGGTTTGGAGCCAGTTTCCATTGGAGAGGTTCCTGTGGCTGAAGAGTTGCAGAGAAAGCATATAGGAGACTATTGTGATAATCCAGTTAAGAGATGACTTGGACTTGTCAGACCAGGTAACAGAAGTGGTCAGAAAATTATGGATAGCATAATGAGTTTTGTGAGTCTATTATGTTAAATTCATTTAAATTAAGTAATTAATCTTTTATTTTGAGATTATGCCCTTCCTACTTTTTGGTGGGCTTTATATATATATATTTTTTTTAATGAAATTACAGTGATAGTAAATGATAGTTGCTGTGTTAGTTCTTAATGTCCTTATTTGACTAAATACAAGATAGATTAGCAGTCCTATTTCAGTACATTCACCCCCTTTTACTTTTCTTGGATTTACAGATTTTAAAATTATGAAAGTTTGTTCACCACTAAACCTGACTGGGGAAGGAGAGTAGGGTGGAAATTTCAAGCAGTTCAGGCAGCAGAACCTAGAGAGGTTAAACTTTGGGGCTGGATTTGTGGAGAATGAGTAAGAAAGTGAAGGAGAGTTTTTTAAGACTGTTGTAGGATCAAGTTGGAAGGTCAGGGAAGGACCAGATCAAATTCTTTTCACCCAGGGTACAAAGACAAATTGTTCCCAGGGACAATGTCAAGGATTAACACAAGCAGCAAGGATAACAGTGTCCTAATATATTGATCTCAGGATGTCAGGGACAGACATCTTCATATTCATCATGAAGTCTACAAGAAAGGAACTTGAATTTGGACAGTGGTTGGGGGCGGCTTCAGCTTCTTTCCCTGCTGAGACTGATGCTATGAATTAATCACTCTGTTTTATGCAGATAATCCCCTATTTCTTGACTATTCACACCCTCATACCTGGTTAGATAAGTTTGGAAAGATAAATTTACAGTAAGTGGTAAGCATATAGTATAAACTCAAAGATTGCTTATTGAATGAAAAAGTGAATTAAAGATGATTTCAAAAATATTAATAAAAGGAATCAGGAAAACATTTATGTTTAGTAATGTAGGTAATAGGCAAGAGGTTTTAGTTGTGGGGATAGAGGACAAAGAGTGATAAGTAAAGACTAAAGAAGAGCCCAAGATTAAAATTTGAGAACTGAATCCAACACATGAGAAAAAAAGTTACCAAGGGGGATTATGAAAAATGATGAGCAGTTCCACTGTGCTGAGAAAAATGTTTAGGGAGGAATTCATTCTCTCCTGTGGGTCTGCTTCTTTTTTTTTTTTTCTTACCAAATGATTATGGAAACTGTCTAAAAATTTTCCTGGAGGAATTTAGAGCTTAAATTTGTTGCATAGTTCAGCAGGGTGGAAAGACCCTAATTGGGAAAACCAAGGAAATACAGCAAAAGTGAGGCTGCAAATGTAAAGGAAGGACATCTTTGCCTCTACATGCTCTGCACATTGACAATTAGGGAAAGCCAACCAGTAATAAGCAAATCTCTGAAAATGAAATCAATGGTAAATGGATTTTTATCATAAAATTTGTTCCAAATAAGGACTGATTTTCATAAAGGTAAGACCCCCAAAATCAATACAATATGCCTTTTATACTTTTTTTATTGTGGTAATATATATAAAATATAAAATTTTCCATTTTAACCAATTTTAAGTTCACTGCCTCTAAGAACATTTATAGTGTTATGCAGTGTGCATCTATCCATCTCCAGAACTTTTTCATCATCCCAAATTGAAACCCTGTACCCATTAAACAAATTCTCCCCTCCTCTTTCTCCCCTAGCCCCTGGCAGTCACCATACTAACTTTCTGTCTTTGTGAATTTGACTAGTCTAGGTATCTCATACAACTGGAGTTATACAATATTTGGCCTTTTGTGTCTGGTTTATTTCATTTAGCTTAATATCCTCAAGGTTCAACCATGTTGTAGCATGCATCAGAATTTTATTTCTTTTGAAGGCTGAATAATGTTCCACCATATGTATATAACACATTAATAAAATAAACTTTTATTATATTTTTATGGACCTCTGCAGTTCAAAAAATGATTAATCATAATTTTTATTCAGATGCATTCCATTCACATCGTTGGTCCAAATATACTTTTAAATCAAAGTGTTAAAAGCTGCCGATTAGGTTCTGAAGGGCAACATAAGGTCTACCTGAGATGTCTTGATGTCCCTTGGGGAATAACGGCTCCCCATCAGAGTATACTACAGTTTGTGTGACAGATTTCCGTAAAGGGAAAACACCGTTTCCTTTTACTGCCACAATAAATTACTACACAAACTGCTAATTCTTTCCACAGCTGTCCAAATTTGGTTTCGCTGCAAAAGTAATTGCTGTTTACTAGCAAATTTGCACACTTGTGTTCTGTTTTATCATTCTCCCTGTGGAAAAATGTGGTTAATTCTCTTACTATATTTACTGCAAGTCAGTCTAGTAAGTCTGTCCACTCATGCATTAGCTGACAGTACTTTCTTGACATACAGAGTTAACAGACAACCTCAATCCAAGGTATCTTTTGAGACATTTTTTAAAACAAAAGGGCTAAAAATTGGTCAAAAGCAAGCCAACAAACAAGCAGAAATGGAAACAAACAAAAACAGAACCCGATGGTCTGAACCTGAACTTAAGGTGACTCTAAAGTAATGCCCCCAGTTGAGTTCATCATTCCTCGTCTCAAATCTGCTCTCTCCTTGTGATCTCCAGCTGACGTGCTGACAATTACTAAAACGGAAAAACAAGGACATCAACCTTGGTTCCTTCCCACCTTCCTCATCCAATCACCAAATCCTGATGATTTTGCCTCCTGAAGATTTATTTTAAAGATTATTCTCTTCACTTCATTCTTTCTGCTGGTGCCACAATTCAAGCTTGTATCATCTCTTGCTGATCATTGTAACTGGCTGCAAATTTTTCTCTCTTCCTGCAATATTGACCTCTAAAATCTGTCCTCCATATGTTAGAAAGAATAGTCAATATAATACACAAATTTGATCCACTTATTTACTCAGTGCCTCTACACTAACTTTTGAATAAAACAGTATGACGTATGATCCCTTTAATCTGGACACCTGTTGGCCTTGGACTTTGTGACTCAGCAACATTAGTCAGCCAGTGCTTCCCCACAAGACTTTTCTCCTGTTCCTCCCTTTGTTTACACTGCCTGGCATGCCCTTTCCCCTGATTTACCTGGCAGTTCTCCTCACTCTTGAAGCCCAGCTCAGGGGCTTCTTCTAGAAATGTATTGCACGCCCCTCCTCCATGGTCCCGTAACGCTCTCTGTCTAGTACTATTATTATACTTACCACAATATATTGCTTTGAATCATATGAAATGGCCAGTTTTCAGCTCTTTATTCCAAAGCAGTGACGATTTCATATGGTCCTACCTAAATGTTAGATGTAATTTGTGTTTCTTTGTACGACACTGTGAGCTTGCTGATGTCAGGACTCTTTCTCATTCAAATTTGTGTCCACAAGTTTCTTCTAAGCACTGTGACTATGACCGACACATTAAAATGTTGGAGGAATGAGTTAATGAATGAATGAATGAACTGTGGTTAACTCTTTATTTATATATTTTGCAGCCAGAAAATTGATACCCATGAATAGTTTTTAATGACATAGAAAAAAAGCTTAATATCATTTTTTAAAAGCCTGATATGGAGCAATACATACACATACATAGATTCATAGAGTATGTAAAATTCATGAATACAAACCCAGTATTTGAAGATTTTTGTCTTCTTTAAAAAAGCTTGCTTTAAATTCAGTTCCAAGTAAGAGAAGCTAGTTTAAAGTATTGAGAGTAAAGTTTACCTATGTCCCTGTCAAAAATATGTGTCAGTTAAATTCTTGTCCAATCCTAATCCAAAGAATCTGACTACTCATAAATGTTTTTGGCTATTGATATAATATGCTCATGTCATTCATTTTGTTTCCCTTACCCTTTGTTGCTTTTTCTAGCATGGACTTGAGGAAACAGCTGCTGAATGCAAGAGACTAGGTGCAAAGGTTCATTCCTCTGCGGTCGACTGCAGTAACCGAGAAGAAATTTACAGCTCTGCAAAGAAGGTGAAATTTTATATTTGGTTCAAATCGTATCATGTCAGAGATGGGAGGGATTTTGGCGATGACCCCATTATTATGTAGGCAAAGTAACAGTAGGTTTGTGGTTCACCCAAGGTTGTGCAGCTAGCTAGTGGCAGACCCAGAACTAGAACCTAGAACTGAGGTTCCCAGACTTTAGTGTGTTCTGGAATCTTCCAGGGAACTTGTTTTAAAAAAAATAGGCACCCTAGAAGTTTTCTTTCAGTAGATCAAGGGCTGGACTCAGGAATCTGCATGTTTAGTACCCTATGCACCCACACCTCGCCCATCTAATTCTGATGCAGGTGAATCCTTAGATGACCTACAGAATCACTGACAGGGTCTTCTGAAGCCCAGCAAAGAACTGGGTTAGGTGCTTAGGATAAACCTATTTATCAGGGTTTGATCATATATAGATCTATTTCTAGAAAGCATTATTTGCATCTTCTGTATACAACTGAGATGTGCTTCAGGTAATGGGGTTTCACCCTAAATGTATTCATACTCATCCTTGTAAACTAAATACTGTAAGAGTAGAAAGGTCATTAGGGCCTGGGCAAATTCTTTTAAAATTCACATTCCTGGACATCACCCCTGGATATTCCGATTCAGTAGATTATAAAGATTCCAGTTCAACCAGACTTGAGAATCTCATTGTTTGAGAATTTTAGATTTGGGGGCATTTTTAACTTCTGTTTTTACATTGTAATTTTTTTTTCAAACTGATGCCTCTTTATTATCAGCAAAGCCTGAGCTAAGTCAAAAGAGTAAGTAGAAATTACCCAGGCCAGTGGTGGGTAATGGCTTTCCTGGAAAGGGTACAGTAAGAGCAAGTCCTTTAGGTGAGAAATATCTACATTTAACAATAACTATTTTACTTACATCAATAATGATTCTCCTTCATAGAGATGAGAGCTGTTCTAGTTGGTAGTAGCTATGTCACCTTGGGTAACTTACTTACCCTCCCTGTGCCTAACTTTTCTCAATTATAAAGTGGGGATCACAGCAGTACCTACTTCATAGGATTGTTATGAGGATTAAGTGAATTAATGACATAAAGTTCTTAGAACAGTATCTGGCACTTAGTAGCCCCTCTGTAGGAATTAGTTATTCACACACACACACACACACAATGTGAAGATAACATTTTATGTGGGTCTGTATTTTCTATCCCTGTGATCTCTGTACCCGAGAATATATGTTAAATGTATAAACTAATTTACGCTAAATTCAATTTTTGTATTTTATATATATGTATATGTATTTTATATATATATATGCAATTTTGCAGCATTGGAAGAGGCTATGTCTATTGCAAAGCAACTTTTGTCTAACTTTGCCATGTTGCTCACTGACTTGTTATTTGACTGTAGATTAATTTATTTTGGCACTGAATTTCTGTATACATTTAAGACTTAAGACATCAGGCAGCTTCAGAGTAGGGGTAGAGAAAGGCAGCTGTAATTTGGGACTCGTAAAGAAATGTTTTTATGAGGATAGTAATACCTTAGATGAGTTTTGAACAAATTTATTGCATCCAACTCATGGAAGAGCTTAATGTAAGAGTTGTAAAAGATGCCCACATGCAGGGTCATTACTCCTTTGAGAAAAGAAGACTGGATAAATAAATGGTCAGTGATTTACGCCTACAGTAGCTTAACCACAACCTTTTATAATATTTAAGCACAAAAATATTTATGAAGAGGCATTAATATCTCAACATATACCTCAATGGCAGTGCTGAAATGCCTGTAATATATTTTCAAGCTAGTTTTATTTGGAAATAACAAATTATCAGGTAACATTTGTAGCCAAATCTACTTCATCTTAAAATAAAAATGAGTTTAAGACCATAGTACCAATTTTAATTGATTGAAGGGCCTATATATTTTTAAATGATTGTAATTGATGATGAATATATTCACAAATTCTTTGACCCTAAGAAATAAGGAAAAATTATTGCTCTCTGAGATGAAAAAATAGTTCAATTTTTTAAAACATAATTGAAAGTCAACTACCATAATACCTAGGGGCCATGACTATCTATATGCAGATTACCTGATTTGAGTTAATTTCTCAGGCAATTTAGGCTTTAGAAACACTTGATTTCATGAAATGCTTCTTTATGTAGTACCTTGAATGGAGCCATGTCATGACAAACAATACATATGTGTTATTTTTGTCTGTGTGTCATCAAACAACTGGTTATCAGTTTTCTTTCAAAAGTCCTTTTAGCGTGATTTTTAAAGAATTAATTTATTAATTTTCTATATATGTATATTCCTTTTCATATATTTTTATTACAGGCCATTACAGGGTATTGAGTGTGGTTCCCTGTGCTCTACAGTGGGACCTTGTTGTTCATCTATTTTATAAAAAAAAAACAATTAGTTACTAGTAGTAAAGTAGAATCACCAATGTTATCTATATAATTTTGTAATTGGTCTTTGTTAAAAGGATTTACTAACCCAACATCTTTAGTTACCTAAATAGAAAACATTTGTTTCCAGACTCATCTGGGAATAGGCTTTTCCTGAAAAGATAGTTTTATTATTTGAACCTATTCCATGTGTTTTAACTATAATTTTTTTTTGCTGAAATCATCCTAAGATAAACTATATGCTTAAACAGAGTATACACAAGGGACATGTGATCATCAGCTATTTTGACATAGCTATTTTGATGTAGCTATTTTGGCATCAGGACAATTTTATGCCACCTAAACAATTAAACTCTCAGCTTGCTTCCATTACTAAGAAATGTGCAAACCCTGGGAGACAATAGGTCATGATGGAGAGCTCAAGGATGGTCAGGTTCCTTTGGCAATATAAAACAGTAATTTATCTTCTGAGTCACATTAATTTGGAGTCATTATGGCAGCTTCATCAATTCAACCACATGAAATGTCCTGTTTTTCTCAATAACTTAGGGACATTATTCTGAACAACAGTTTTCATAATGTGCTGGAGATGTGGATATAGGTACAAACAGTGTTCTGTTCATCAAGGGCCAAATAATTCAGCTTGGTTCTTTAGTAATTTAAGAATAACCTGATGAAATTCAATTCTGGCTGACAAGCCTTCAGCAGTGACACACTGATGGCCTCCTGAGGTGTTGATGGGCCTTCACCCAGGCTTCCTTCCTGTCTGAGATGGCTTGTCTTGCCCTGAGGTCAGAGGATCTGGGAGAGTCCTAGCTCCATGTGACCTTTTATACCCATATAACCTTGGGCAAGAAACAGCCCTTCTATGTCTCATGTTTCAGACCTTTAAAATGAGCATATAAGAATTAATACTTCATCGAATAGTGAGAATTAAGTGAGATAAATCATGAAATCATGTAAAATGCATAGCATAGTGAAAGGCTTTAATGGGCTATATACCACCTCCCCCTCAATCCCCCAACACACCACAGCACTATCTAAACAATGATAACTCTATTAATAGGAGCTAGCTTTTATTTGGAACACAATATGTAACAAAATGCACTGTAACTCTAGGGTCCTTCCACCAGGAAGCTTAGTTATGCAAAGAGCTATAAAAATATGGAAGAAGATACCCTTGCATTGCTAGCCCCTAAGCCTGTTTGTCATCTGGTGAAGAAAGGTTGGTGAGCAATAGATGAAGTGAACACAAAAATAAAGAAATAAAGAAGTGGAAGCTTAATAGTATAATCGGTTTTACACGGTTCCCATATAACAGTCCCTGCATTTGCTTATTAATTTAACTTTTTTTTTCTTTGCTTACCTTTTGAAGTAGTATTCAAAAAATAAATGCTGCTTATCTGTCACTGGCTATGTTTTTGTTAGACAAATGCCTCTTGGGCTCTAATCATTAGAGAGAGCAAAGTCTAGATACTAAATTGCAAAATAAAATTTCTGCCAGTAGAACTACAGGCAGGGCTATTTTGAAATTTTCTTAAAATTAAAAATTTTTTTCCATTTGGCACATAGGTTACAAAACTACTTTTCTTCCATATCTAATAGAAAAATCATACTTCCTTAATAGTCACTGCATGCAAACCTACTTTTAGACCTCTTAATGCTGAAAATATTTTTCTCATTTTATTTTTAAAGGTGAAGGCTGAAATTGGAGATGTTAGTATTTTAGTAAATAATGCTGGTGTAGTCTACACATCAGATTTGTTTGCCACACAAGACCCTCAGATTGAAAAGACTTTTGAAGTTAATGTACTTGCACATTTCTGGGTAAGTATGATTTCTTTTACAAAACTATTCCGTTTTGTATAACCCAAAGATTAAGTTTAAAGTGGAGCTTTAAGCAGACATTAGGATGTATCAAATCAATACTAAAGTTTTCTCCAGGTACCCGGGATAACATTGTACAAAGAAATTGTTTTTCATATTATACCCAAATCCTGTCAATCAGTCTTCTCCTCCCTCAAAAAATACTAATAATATTAATTAATAATAATAAGAATAGACTTGAGGTGTTATTTTAATTCTAAGCTAGATCTCACACTTCTGTGTGATCCTGTTTAGAGATGAAAGAAGGGATAAGAGATCATCTGAGTCATCTTCTGTGATTCTATAAAAAGTGAACCCAGATTCTCTCAGATTCTCATGAGACTCAGTCCTCATGTTATTTCCTGGTCCCCAAATCGCAAACTTTATTACAACTCACCATTCATGGTCTTAAATAATATATAAAGAGAGGGAGAATGAGAAAAAGAGAGTCTAAATATTGGCCAAATAGCCAGTTCATAAGAGTACCTCAAAGTTTTCTTGAATATAAGTTTGGGATGTGTGACCTCAGAATGTAAACTGGCGCAACCACTATTGGAAACGGTATAGAAGTTCCTTAAAAAACTAAAAATAGAACTACCATAGGACCCAGGAGTCCCACAACTGAGTATGTATCTGGAAAAAATGAAAACTTTAATTTGAAAAGATATATGCACCCAGTTGTTCATAGCAGCACTATTACAATAGCCAAGACATGGTAACAACCCAAGTGTCCATCAACAGATGACTGGCTTAAGAAGATATGGTATGTGTGTGTGTACATATAAATATAAATAAATATATATATAATATGTATATATTATATATATGTCATATGTCTGATAAAATATTAATTATCCATGAAAAAGAATGAAATATTGCTATTTGCAGCGACGTGAATGGACAGAGAGAATATTACTTAGTGAAGTAAGTCAGACAAAGAAAGGCAAATATATGATATCACTTATATGTGGAATCTAAAAACTAATACAAATACGAAACAGAAACAGACTCACAGACTCACAGACATAGAAAACAAAGAGGGGTAGGACTGACAAATTAGGAATATGGGATTAACATACAAACTACTGTATATGGAATAGATAAGCAACAAGGATTTACCATATAGCACAGGGAATTATATTCAATACATTGTAATAATCTATAGTAGAAAATAATCTGAATATATGTGTATTGTGTATATATATATACACAATACACATATATAAAACTGACTTACCTTGCTGTACACTTGAAACTAACACAATATTGTAAATCAACTATACCTCAATTTAAAAAAAAGGAATATTGGAGTTGGTGGGAATGCAGTATTATTTTATGTTAATATTCCCAAGTTATTAACATCATTTTTATATTTTTATGACTTATAAGGGTGCCTCTTTCTGCCTCTCTTAAAACATAGGGTTTTTTTTTTTTCTGAATCCCCAGCATAGAGTAGGTGCTCAATAAATATTTTTTGTATGACTCATTCAGTAACTACTGGAAGATTGTTATCACTCAGTATTTTGATGATATAACTAAACTCTTTTCTAATAATTTCACATTGAATGTAAAAATTTTTGACAACTCTAGATATTATCCCTATTCAGTATATGAAATGGTAGAAGTCATCAGTAACAAAAAGTGGGAGAACTGGGGACATAAGAAGTTAACAGTTTAAATGAGATGGATTCTCAAAGTTTTGGGGGTTCATTGTTTCACTTAGTTTTTCTAATCTGAGCATCCTATGCATTTGCCTTATGTTGCTACATTTGGCAGTTAATCTAGGTTTTTTCATTTATGCCAAGAACAATATCGCAATTAATCTAGGTTTCTTCATTTATGCCAAGAACAATGTCAACAAAATATACCTTTGTTTTGAAATATTACCAATGGATTTGCAAATCAGAAGTAACAATTTTTTTCTCTTTTAATAATAACTATTTCTAGACTACAAAGGCATTTCTTCCAGAGATGATGAAGAATAATCATGGCCATATTGTCACTGTGGCTTCAGCAGCTGGGCATACTGGGGTCCCCTTTTTATTGGCTTATTGGTATGTGAACATGTGTTTCCTTCATTGGTTACTATGCTTAACTTGTGTGTGATTTCTTATCCTGTCTAATGAGGACTACTCTTTAACAATATTAGACTTGAAGATGCTGAAGTAAACAGAAAGAATTGCACAAAATCTCTTGTACAACAGCACTATCAATCATTAATCTCCTCCTGGGTTAACAATTCTAGAGATGGCTACAGGGAAATTATCCAGTAAGAAGCCAAGTGCTTAAAGCATTTCTCATCCCTTTTAACAGCAAGGAATTATAAAACAAGAACAATATTTTTGTACCATGAACAAAAGTTAATATTAATAATTTTAATAAAGTAATTTTGTAGAAATAAAACAATGTAAAGAGAGTATAATCTAAGATTCTAAACATTAAAAACATCCCAACAATGAAATAACTATGATAAGCACTTGTTACAGTTTTTAAAGACATTTTAAATGCAGCTATAAAATCATGCATTGAGAAAAATCTGCATACATAATCATGCTTTTTTTTATTTAAAATAAACATTTTGCATGTTAATAAATATGTATGTGAACATCATTTTCAATTCCTGCGTGGTATGCCATTGTATATATCTGCCACTCTTTATTCAATTTATGCATTATTGTTAGATAATTTATTTGTCAAGACTCTTTTAGTTGCAAGGAACACAAAACTTAAACTTCCACAGACCAAAAGAGAAAGTCTTAGGCAGATTCTTCTCTGCTGGCAAGATGGGCTCTAGCCATAGTAGTGGTCTGGAACAATATCCTTTCAACTCCAGGTCCAGCAGATGGGGGAAGAGCCATGCCTTCAAATGTTCTAGTTCTAGAGCTCACTCTAACGAGGCCAACTTGGATCCAACCACCATATAGGGATGGGGAGCTGGGGTATAACTGAGCAAAATCAGAGTGATGTTACCAGAATGAGGGAGTATGAATGCTGTTGGGCAAAAACAGCAGCTGTCCCCTTTCAGACACTTAAAATTGTTTCCAACTTTCCTGCCTTCATGAGCTGTATACTCCAGGGTCTATCCCTGAGTATAAATCTTTAGAAACGTGACTAATTATTTCCTTGACGTAAATACTTAAAAGAGAAATTACCGAATCTAAAAGCATGGCATATTTTTAATGAATTCGTTGCCTTTTGCCAAATTACCTTCCAGAAAATGCTACCAGTTTACTTGTCCTTTGGAAAATAGGAAGTTCTGTGGAAAGTTCTGTCACTTTTTTTTAAGCTTAGATATATTTTGATGGCTCAATAAGATTGCCAATTCAGTTATATAAAATGAAAATATTCTGTACATTGAAAATCAACTCATACAAATAAAAAATTTCCTCATATCCTTACCATTACTGCTAGGCAAAAAATTTATCTTTTTAAAATTTGTATTTATTTTAATTACTCCTGAAATAAATAAAACCTTTTATGTGCATATATCTATTGGTATTTTTATTTTGTGAATTTTCTGCTAATGTCCTTAGGTATTTATCCACTAGATTATTGTCTTATTTATTTATAAGAGTTGTCATGTATTCACTCTTATCTTTGTCTTATACACTACAAGTGCTTTACTTATTTGTCATTTGCCTCTTAACTTGGTTGGGAGCTAATAAAGTTTAGAGTATATCATATAAAGGTCTGGTTTGTTGCCCACATTAAAAGCCTGATTCCACTTTCTTTTGTGTCTTTGGGCAAGTCCTATAACCCTGCTCTGCCTAAGTTTCCTTTTCAGTAATGGAGATCATGATAGTATCTATTTCACAGAGTTGTTGTGAGAATTAAATTAAATAATGCATCTGATAACTGAGGACAGTGTTTGGCATACAGTGATCAATTTTAGATATGATTATTTTTGTTTGTGTTGTTTTTCAATGTACAGAAGATTTACATTTTATGTAATTGAATCTAGCAATCTTTCTCATAAGCCTTCAATATATATCTAAGCTTTAAAAAAAAAAAGGTGAGAGAGAACATTCCACAGCTTTCTGTTTTCCAAAGCACAGTTTAATTGGCAAGATTTTACAGCTACTTTGTATAATTGCAAATCTGTACAGATTTATAGAAAAACAATCTATCTGGTAATTAATGCCACTGAATTATACACTTAAAATGGTTAAAATGGCAAATTTTTTATTATAAATATTTTTGCATAATTTAAAAATTAGTAATGTAATATTACAAGAACCATTGAGTTGTACACCTAAATGGGTGAATTATATGGTATATGAATTAATATCTCAATAATGCTGTTTTCTTTAAAAACTCAGCTGGAAAAGTAATGTCTACTTAGAATATGATTAATTTCACTTCTTTTTCCAAATGAAGGCTCTGTGACAATAAGAATTTCTTTGCATTTTGATTCATTCATTTGACACGTATTTATTGAGCACCTATTGTAGGCCAAGCACTGTGCCAGGCCCTGGGGATTCATTGGGAACCAAAATCTATATGGAGATTGTTATACTAAAGGTAGGGGACAGACATTAAAAAAAAATTCACCCGAATGAATATTTAATTACAAACCCAAGATGTGCTATCATGGAAAACTGAAGCTTGCTGCATAATGGAGAAATAATTTAGACTACGGGTCAGGAAAGGCCTCTCTGAGGAAGTCAAGCTGAGACTTAAAGGAAGAACAGGACTTATCTAGGAGTTTCCTAATGAATTCCGTGAACATATTATAGTAAATAATGAGCAGCCTATAGCAACATTAAATTTTATGGAAACAACAACAACAAAAATACCCTATCAATTTCCCTAACCAAACATTTAAACCTACTCAGTTCTCACTCTGACAAATGATGCTGGGCGGCGATAATGTTCTATGCTAGTGCTTCTTAGAGTTCACTAGCGTTTACTATACATTTACCTGAGGATCATCTAGAATGCAGATTCTGATTCAGTAGGTCTGGGCCAGGTCCTGAGATTCAGATCTTGCCATGCTGCTTGGCACTTAATTGAGGAAAACAGAAATCTGAATTTAACAGATGCAGCAGCTTTCTTGAATTATTTTGTGAACTCTGTTTATTTTCAGTTCAAGCAAGTTTGCTGCTGTTGGATTTCATAAAGCTTTGACTGAAGAACTGGCTGCCTTAGAAAGAACCGGAATCAAAACAACATGTCTCTGCCCTAATTTCATAAACACTGGCTTCATCAAAAACCCAAGAACCAGGTAAGCTGAGACAGAAATGGAGACAAAAGGATTGGTGATTGCTATGCTTGTCAACCATTCTGTGGATTTTCCTAAATATTTTAATTCTTAAAACACCTGATATTCGAGGCCTTTAGCTCATTTAGTTTCAGCTTCTATATAGATTGTGGGAAAATAGGTAGAAACAAAGAGAGAAGGAGGGACTATATCTAAATATAGATACGAATGACACTGGTGAAGTTGCTAATCCTTCCCTTTCTCTCCCCTTAAATGGTGGTTCTCAGACTTAAGTATACATACATTTCACCAGGAGTGCTTGGGAACCATGTAGGTGTCCCACCCCTAGCGACGGTGATTTATTCGGTTTGGTTGGGATGCAGTAGGGGTGGGAAAGGAGCCTAGAATTCTGTATGTTTAACAAGCATCATAGGTAATTCTGATAGAGGTGACCCAGGACCACAACGTAAAAACACTCTCCTTTGGTAATCTAAAGATTATCCTCCAAAACATGTACCAGACTATATAGTCTTTCCTTAGTTAAAAAATAAAATTAGAAAGGATTAGCTCTGAGGTTAATTTTTAATGTTTCCTCTCATAGGGAATAGCTTTAACATCTTTATAAACATGATGCATACTTAAAAAAAGATTCCAACAGACAAATACAAATAAAGTTTCTTTTAAAATTTCCTTAAAATCGTCTATTCAGTGGAAACTGCTCTTACCATTTTGATGAATATTCCTTTAGACATCTCTTGTACAGATTAAGTGCCTAAGTTTCATATAACTGGCATATATTATACATGGGACTCCGGACCCAGTGAGTAAACTGCTTGCTTCCTTCAGCATTATGATTATAGACAACAGTACTGCATTAGAAACTTCAAAATTGCTAAGAAGCTAAATTTTAACCTTTTCCAGCACAAAACAGAAATGATAATTGTGTAACCTGCATTAGCTGACGCTAAGGTGGCAATCATACTGCAATGTATAAATGTATCAAATCAGCAGGTTGTATAACTTAAACTTATATAATATGATATGCCAATTATATCTCAATAAGAATTCATTAATTTTTGAAACAGTTGACTAGAACTGAAAAGTAGTGTCAAAGGAAGAGGTGAGTACAATCCCCAAGGATAAAATCTGCCAATATAAGACACTAATATATTTGAGTCAAGTTTTTCACTCAGACTGTCTTTCAATAGTTAAAAACAGACAGTATATATATTTTTAATTATTGTTGATTTTTTTACCCTTGTCCCCAGGAGTAGGTGACACAAAGTTTACCTTCATGGGGGCAAGGGGGCCCTCTCCTGGCAAAGCTCTACTAGTACAATTTTAAAAATTACTGGGACGATTGCTGTGGGGAAGGGGGTAAATAGAAATGGCCTGATTGTAGCGTAATCACAGGAATATAACCTGGCTAAGGAAGGGTCTGGGGCTTGTCCTGCCATGTGAACCTCTCTGAAGATAAGGTAATACTGGAGTACGTGCCAAAGGTGAAGTTGGTTTTAATCTGGAAACTTAGTTCTAGTTAGAACAGAAAACTCTTACTCCAGTTAACGTTTTGGACAAAATAAAATCTGTAATTTTCTTTTTATTATTATTTATTTTTAAACATTTTTTATTGAGTTAGTCATTTTACAATTTTGTGTCAAATTCCAGGGTAGAGCACTATTTTTCAGTTATACATGAACATACATATATCATTGTCACATTTTTTTTCACTGTGAGCTACCACAAGATCTTGTATATATTTCCCTGTGCTATACAGTATAATCTTGTTTATCTATTCTACGTATGCCTGTCAATATCTACAGATTTCAAATCCTAGTCTGTCCCTTCCCACCCACCTCCCCCATGGCAACCACAAGTTTGTATTCTATGTCTATGAGTCTGTTTCTCTTTTGCATTTGTGTTCTTTTTTTTTTAATTACACATATGAGCGATCTCATATGGTATTTTTCTTTCTCTTTCTGGCTGACTTCACTTAGAATGACATTCTCCAGGGACATCCATGTTGCTGCAAATGGCGTTATGTTGTTGGTTTTTATGGCTGAATAGTATTTCATTGTATAAATATACCATCACCTCTTTATCCAGTCATCTGTTGATGGACATTTAGGCTGTTTCCATGTCTTGGCTATTGTAAATAGTGCTGCTATGAACACTGGGATGCAGGTGTCTTTTTGAAGTTGGGCTCCTTCTGGATATATGCCCAGGAGCGGGATAACTGGGTCATATGGTAAGTCTATCCCTAGTCTTTTGAGAAATCTGCATACTGTTTTCCACAGTGGCTGCACCAAACTGCATTCACACCAGCAGTGTAGGAGGGTTCCCCTTTCTCCACAGCCTCTCCAGCATTTGTCATTTGTGGATTTTTGAGTGACAGCCATTCTAACTGGTGTGAAGTGATACCTCATTGTAGTTTGGATTTGCATTTCTCTGATAATTAGTGATATTGAGCATTTTTTCATGTGCCTATTGACCATTTGTATGTCTTCTTTGGAGAATTGCTTGTTTAGGTCTTCTGCCCATTTTTGGATTGGCTTGTTTGTTTGTTTCTTAGTAAGTCATATGAGCTGCTTATATATTCTGAGATCAAGCCTTTGTTGGTTTCATTTGCAAAAATTTTCTCCCATTCCATATGTTGTCATTTTGTTTTACTGATGGTTTCCTTTGCTGTACAGAAGCTTGTGACTTTAGTTAGGTCCCATTTGTTTATTCTTGCTTTTATTTCTATTGCTCGAGTAGACTGTTCTAGGAGAACATCTTTGAGATGTATGTCAGATAATGTTTTGCCTATATTTTCTTCTAGGAGGTTTATTGTATCTTGTCTTATGTTTAAGTCTTTGATCCGTTTTGAGTTCATTTTTATGTATGGTGTAAGGGAGTGTTCTAGCTTCATTGATTTACATGCTGCTGTCCAGTTTTCCCAACACCATTTGCTGAAAAAAGACTGTCTTTATTCCATTGTATATTCTTGCCTCCTTTGTCAAAGATTAGTTGACCAGAAGTTTGTGGGTTCATTCCTGGGCTCTCTGTTCTGTTCCATTGGTCCATATGTCAGTTTTTGTACCAATACCATGCTGTTTTGATTACTATAGCTTTATAGTATTGTCTGAAGTCTGGGAGAGTTATTCCTCCAGCCTCTTTCTTTTTCTTCAGTAATGCTTTGGCAATTCTAGGTCTTTTGTGGTTCCATATAAATTTTATTATGATTTGTTCTAGTTCTGTGAAATATGTCCTGGGTAATTTGATAGGGATTGCATTAAATCTATAGATTGGCTTGGGCAGTATGACCATTTTAACAATGTTGATTCTTCCAATCCAAGAGCATGGGATATCTTTCCATTTTTTTAAGTCTTCTTTAATTTCCTTAATCAGTGTTTTATAGTTTTCCATGTATAAGTCTTTCACCTCCTTGGTTAAATTTGTTCCTAGGTACTTTATTACTTTGGGTGCTATTTTAAAGGGGACTGTTCCTTTACTTTCTTTTTCTGTGGATTCATCATTAGTGTAAAGAAATGCAACTGATTTTTGAATGTTAATCTTGTAACCTGCTACTTTGCTGAATTCTTTCATTATTTCTAGTAGTTTTTGTGTGGATCTTTTAGGGTTTTCTATATATAGTATCATGTCATCTGCATATAGTGACACTTTTACCTCTTCTTTTCCAATTTGGATCCCTTTTATTTCTCTCTCTTGCCTGATTGTTGTGGCCTAGGACTTCAAAGACTATGTTGAATAGGAGTGGTGATAGTGGGCATCCTTGTCTTGTCCCAGACTTTAGTGGGAAGCTTTTGAGTTTTTCACCATTAAGTACAATGCTGGCTGTAGGTTTGTCATATATAGCTTTTATTATATTGAGATATGTTGCCTCTATACCCACTTTGGTGAGAGTTTTTATCATAAATGGGTTTTGAATTTTATCAAATGCTTTTTCGGCATCTATTGAGATGATCATATGGTTTTCGTCCTTTCTCTTGTTGATGTGATATATTACATTGATTAATCTGCGTATGTTGAACCACCCTTGTGTCCCTGGGGTGAGCCCCAGTTGATCATGATGTATAATCTTTTTTATGTGCTGCTGGATTCTATTTGCTAATATTTTGGTAAGGATTTTTGCATCTATGTTCATCCATGATATTGGTCTATAATTCTCTTTTTTGGTGGTGTCTTTGCCTGATTTTGGTATCAGGGTAATTGTGGCTTCATAGAATGAGTTTGGGAGTATTCCCTCCTTTTCAATCTTCTGGAAGAGTTTGAGAAGGACTGGTATGAGTTTTTGCATGTTTGGTAGAATTCCCTGGTGAAGCCATCTGGTCCTGGACTTTTATTTATAGGGAGGATTTTTATTGCTAATTCGATTTCATTTCTAGTGATCTGTTTGTTCAAGTGGTCAGTTTCTTCTTGATTCAGTCTTGGTGGACTGTATGTTTCCAGAAACTTACCTATCTCCTCTAGGCTATGCATTTTGGTTCCATATAGTATTTCATAATATTCTCATATGATATTCTGTATTTCTATGCTATTTGTTGTAATTTCTTCATTTTCCTTCCTTATTTTGCTTATTTGTGCTCTCTCTTTTTTCTTCTTTGTGAGTTTGGCCAGAGGTTTGTGGATTTTATTTACTCTTTCAAAAATCCAGCTTTTGGTATGATTGATTTTTTCTATTTTTTTATCTCTATTTTATTTATTTCCTCCCTGATCTTTATTATTTCCTTCCTTCTGCTGACTTTTGGGGTTTTTTGCTCTTCTTTTTCTAATTCTTTTAGCTAGTGGTTTAGATTGTGTATTTGAGATTGTTCTTCTTTTTTGAGGAATGCCTGTATTGCTATAAACTTCCCTCTTAGCATTGCCTTTGCTGCATCCCATAAATTTTGTGTGATCGTGTTTTCATTTTCATTTGTCTCAAGATATTTTTTCATTTCAACTTTGATTTCATCATTGACCCATTGGTTTTTTAATAGCATGTTATTTAATCTCCATGCTTTCCTTTTTTTCTCCTTTGTTTC